CCCTTTTAACGAAGATCTTCGCTTCAATAAAAAGGCTTCCAAATTCAGAATGCATTTAAGAATTGTTTCACGATTCTGCGCAAACTTTTAAGGCAAAATAGTGTCAACAGGTTAAGTGGAATTCCAAGCCTATAACATCCCTCTGATTCCTATCAGGCCAGCAGTCAAAGAAAGGTTTGTCCCTACTTTACCCACCTACATTACACCCATTGGCACCAACAACCATGCCCTGGCCTACTTCCAAAGGCCTCTGCCAGTGTGACAGTGTGCTGGATAGAAGCAAGCCACCTTGGCCCAGGATTGTTTATTAGGGGGTGAAGATAGTTTGTATACATCTCCCTCCCTCCTTCCGTCCCTCCCTCCGTGGTCTGACTTCCCTGTGAAATCCCCAGGGACGAACACAAATCAATGACACAGTGTGACGTTCTATCACATGTGGTCCGAAGCCCCTCAGGCTCTGTGCCTTATATCCCTCCCTCCTCCTTCACTGACATCAATAAAGCCATTAACTGATGAACACCATGACAACAGCCCCACTATAAACACTGTTAATTCCCCCTTTACCTGATCTGAGCCTTACTCAGGAACAAACTTAGTTGAAAACATGAAAGCAACTCCCCAAAGTCAGCCTCAGAGACGCATAGCTGCTGCTTGTTGATGTGTAACAAACAGGAGATGGTCAGTCAGCCTCACCCGAACGCACAGGAACAGCAGAAAATTAACTCTAGCAAACCACCCGGCAACTGACAACATGTCAAAGAAATGGTCAAAGGACTATCAGCTTCAGCAATATACACAAACCAAACGATTCCTCTACACTGTCCATCCAGCACTCCCAGGTCAGCTGCAGCATCAGGTATACAACATATATGCACCAACCTGGCACCTCATCATTGCCTGGACACTGATGCACAAAAGTCTCTTTGCTCGTGTGTATGCGCGTGTGTGTGCGTGCACTGTGTGGAGGAAGCAGGGAGGAGTTAGGATAGAGTGTATATTTGTTAGCTCCAGAGTATCCTTCTGCTGCCTTGGTGTGATCCCCATTGCAGTCTGGCCATTTTTTCAGACATAAAGCGGCCCATGTCTTGTCAACAACACTCTGCCTCAATTCCTCCACCTTGCCCCTCTCTGCCTATCTTCTGATCGCACCTGAAGATCTTCCCCTTCGGCTGAGCCCCTCTCTCTCTCTCTGGCTCGGTGTCAAGCTCTGCCACTGTTAAGGGCTCCAAGATGCTGTCCTGCATAAAGGGCGCTATATAAATGGAAGTTAATTTGATCTCCCATGTGGTCTGGGTGTGTGTCCCCCAGTACAGTCTGGGTGTGTTCCTAGTATTGTCAGAGGTTCCGTCCTTCAGATGAGACATTAAACCGAGGTCCTGACTGTTCAGGTGGACGTTAAAGATCTCAACGGTGCTTTCGAAAAAAGAAGGGAGCTTCTCTCTCCCAGTGTCCTGGCCAACAATCCCCCAAATGAAATTGGTCACTTGCTCCTTGGCTGTGTGTGGGCCATTGCTATACCAATTGTAAGGATTATTTATTATTCTCGTGACAGAGACAGGGAAAGATAAACAACAATGACCTCAGTTCCCCAGTACATTCCTGCTCTGGCTAAGTCGGAAGGCTGGATGTAAAGCTGATTTGTGATGTCACCCTGATAGGAGGTGTGGGCTTCAGATACAATAAGCAGCTCAGCGGCTCCTGGAAGATCTCCGCAGGTCACTGACCCCCCCACCTCCCCTCCCCCCAAAGCTGACTTAAGCCAACACAATGCTGAGGAGGTATCCAGGAACATCCCAAACAGTCACATGCCCAAAATGTACAGAGAGCAAATAACATGTGTTTAACCCTTCACATCCAGGCAGTGGAACAAGACACTGAAAATTGTTCAAAACTACACGGTTCCTTTGTGGGAAAATGAATATATACAGTATAAGCTCCACGTGCAATATACACTTCAATCTGTGCATTTGATATAGCGCCTCATCATGTCGGTGAGACATTCAAAGCGTTTCACAGAATACACTGTAAAGTGGATTTCTCACAGCAGTGCCCCACAAAGTCATAGATTCAGTGACAATTTTTTTAAAAAAGGGATTATTACCTCCGGAAAGTGATCCATCAATCGACTAACAACCGGGTTGCTACTTTGTGCTAGGTAAGTGTGGAATAAGGAAACTTGCCTCAGGTTTCGCCCTGCCCGGGAATCAAACCCAGGTCCTCTCGCTTGCACTACGGGACTCCAGTGAATGCAGCATCAACAATGCTGGAGGAAGCTGTTCTCTCGAGAGCGCTCGCTCACTCAGTAGACTGAAGGACGATCACAATCCTCACCTGGGCCAGGTGCAATAGGGTCAATAGATCTCCACCCCAAAAGAGTTTACTTCCGGCCTCTCTGAAGTCTTGGCACAAAAACACACGTGTCCTGGAAATGCCTCGATTTCTGTTGCACCCTCTTCTTCTCTCAGACACACTCCCATCGGTGCTATCAATCGTTCCTTGCTGCGAAACAGATGTCCCTGTGAGGTGCAGGAGCTCCGAGGTGGGAGGGGTGGGGGTTGATAGGCAAAACTGGTCTGCCCTCAGACAGAGACAGAGTGAGAGAAAGGGCATATATCTCTCCTAGCACAGTAGGAGCCTGTCAGCTGTGATTTACATTGCCTGGTGTTACAGGCCTAACCTAGAGGCTCTCCAGAGGAAACAAGTAGGCGGCTCCATTCTCTGGACAAGGTAAACACCCTTTGACAGCCAGCCACAGTAATCTTTGTCTTTAGGATTTAAACCCTGCGCTGCGGCTGCTCAGTCAATGGGTGGCTCAGCTCGGGGCAAGTACTTTACAATGTGTGTAGAATTCAGGCAAGGACTCCACACGGAGCCCATAAAGTACAGGTTAGGGGCATACATTGGGGCGTAGAGAGGTTCTTTGATGTGTTGTCTATTAATTTGAAACAAATGACACTGTTTGCACACAGTAACTCTGGATATAAAAAGAGTTCTGTGTTAACCCACAGGAACTCTGCTCTGGAAGTTAATCGCTTCGCTTCAATCCACAGGAGTGCACTTCTTGTGGTTGGCATGACATATTTCCTGCTGCTGGAAAGAGCCCCAAATTGCATGACTCCTTATTAAGGAATCCCATTAAAACACACACTAAATGTTAGACCCCGGCACCTCCTGTGTCGACTAACACTCAGGTTCCTACTTACTGCTAGATAAACAGGCGCGTGGAATAAGGAAACTTGCGTAAGGTTTGCCCTGCCCGGGAATCGAACCCAGGTTCTATCATTTAGGAGGCGAGAGCTCTAACCGACGCGCTAGAGGACTCCAACATTACATACATTAACCTGTTCAGGAACCACTTGGCACAGAACGTCTACATACACAACACAAGGAAAGAAGCTCAGACACATAGGCATGAGGTGGGAGGGAATGAACAGCCTGATACATGTGGCTGCCACTCTCTTTCTCTCTAATTAAACCAATAAAATCTGTGCCAGTCACCGCACAGCAAGCAAATCCGAACCTGAATCAGCTGCTCCTCAGCTGCCATAGTAACAAGATATTTGGGGTCCTATGGTTTCCTCTTGGATGCCACACTGACTGTCCGTCCCTCCTCCACCTCCTCAAGTGTTGGGTGGGGGGGTGGAAGAATTCCCAGGCTCACTCTTTCAACATAGAGATTCTCTAGGACAGAGTGGAAAAGAGAGGCGTGGAGAGGAATGGAGCGTTCCGGGAAGGATGCTGTGTAATCGCAAGTTGTTGTTCAGTGGAGAGGAGCAAAGTTGCTGTAAATAGGGAGCAAAGCCTGACTTTAAAGTCCATCCCTGGACGATGGGAGAGTTAATTGGGGACCTCTGGCTGCTCATCTCATTAGTTGTTCTGATGCTGAGAAAGTGTCCAATCTGACCCGCTTCCCCATCCCACCCCCCAAATTCCCCCCCCCCCCCCAGCCAACAGGGGTGAAGAGAAGAAAGAGAACCTTATTCAGCTAGGTATTTCGGGGGAGGCTCATTCATTCCTCACTCAGTCATATCTAGGGTCATAAGACTGAAAAAACCTGGCGGGTTCAGTGCAGACACAATAAAATGCTGATTAAGACACTGATCCAATCACATTAAACAGAGTTTGGTTCACGGTTAAAGACTTCTGTCCCTGTTTGAGTGTACATGCAAGCAAAAAAGTACTCTCCCCTCCCCACCTTCTTGTACCATCCCGCTCAGAAGATCCCTGGGGTTAATCCCACCTCCTGGGAACAAGCTGCTTTTCTTTCTCGTCAGAAGGGAACTTGAGAAATGGCAAAGCAGATAGCAATAGTCCTGACAGTCATAATAATCATGCATTTGATATATCGCTTCATTACCTTGTTGAGACGTCTCAAAGCGCTTCATGGGACATACTGTAAAGTGCAGTGACTGTGTATTTTGTGGGCAAGCCAGTTGTGCACAGCAATGTCCCACAAACAGCCGTGGAGCAAGTGAGCAAGAACCCCCATCCCCTCCCTCCCCTACGTCCCAGCCCAGGTTAGCTGATCTCAGGTGAGGTGGCAATGCATTGAGGCAATAAGTAGACCTAGGTACGCAGGGCGGGGAACATTGCTCCTCACAAATGCTGCCCAGTGCCCTCTGCTGGAGGAGATTATACACACTATACATGTGTATACACGTCGTGTATGTGTGCATGTACGTGTGTTAAGACTGGCTCAGTCGGCACAACTCTTACAGACAATCCGGTCCAGGCTGTGAGAACGGACACTCTGGAACGTAGGAACAGGAGTAGGCCATTCAGCCTTTTGAGCCTGTTCCGCCATTCTATTAGATCCTGGCTGCTCTGTACCTGAACTCCAATTGCCCGCCTTCGCTCCATATTCCTTGACACCCTGATCTAACAAAAATCTATCCACCTTAGTCGGGAACATTTGAATGGATCCAGCGTCCACGGCCTTTTGGGGGAGGGAGAGAGTTCCAGTTCCGGAGTCCAGGTTGAAGAGAGAGAACGATACACACCTTTAGCAGCCAGCTGTTCATCTGGAGCGTTCAGGGAACCTTCCGGCATGTCTTTTGGCGGAGGCCTGGATGAGCCGTCACTATGGAAACAATAACACAGGTTTCAGCTGCTTCTACAGGCCTCGTATCATATTACACATCCTGCCAGGGCTTCGGGCCTCCTTGTTAAAGGTCGGAGGCTAGCATCTCAGGTGTCAATGTCTCGGGTCAGAGGTCAGGGCTCCCTCTGCTCCCTCTGCTCCTAGTATTTCCTCCCCTTTTACCTTCTCCTCTCCTGGACATGTACAGGTTGCCTGGGTGACTGTGTTACGACCTCTCTGTCTTGGAGGAGCGAGCTCAGGCGCTGGGGGTCACAGACCAGGGCTCAGATTGATTTCTTTTAGGAAATAATATTTTGGGATAAAGTATATGAGTTGTTCAGGACATGACATGTGCAAGCAACTGCCAGGATGGTAGAAGGCGAACTGGATGGATCCGAGACTTTTTTCATCCAGCAATTCCTTTGTCCCTGCCCCATCACACCACGTTTACGTGTGAACCGAGACAGGTGATGTTTTCACTGGCCGAGAACCAGCCAATTCAACCCTGTCCCACCTCCATTCACTCCCCCCACCCCACCCAAATTTCTTGTTGACTTCAGTTTGCAAACTACCAGCGCTGCAGTACTGAGCGGCTGCCAGCAGGGGGCATGTTAGGGCTCAATCCTATTAAATAACCCAGAGCAGAGCCATCCCATCCCACCAAACCAGCAGGTATGTGTGTATGGGGGGCGCGGGAGTGGAGGGGGCACAGAACAGTAGCCAATTTTATTTAGGGGATTGTTGGCCAGGACACCGGGAGAGAAAAACTCCCTTCTCTTTTCGAATTGCGCCGTGGGGCCTTTAACATCCACCTGGACAGACAGACGGGACCTTGGTTTAAATATCTCATCCGAAGGATGGCACTTCCCTCAATGCAAACACCCTCCCCAGCCCCCCGCACTGCATTGGAGCATCAGGCTTAGACTTAAAACTTCTCTCTATCTGTGACCAGGGCTCCTTATGCCTCCTCATCCTCCTGAATCTCTCTGCCGCGTTCGACACAGTCGACCACCCCATCCTCTTCCACTGCCTCTCCTCCCTCATCCACCTTGGTGGGATCGCACTCGCATGGTTTAAGTCCTACTTAACCAACTGCCTCCACTTCATCTCAGCAAATGGTTTCTCCTCCCGCCCCCGCCCGGCCACCTGCAGAGTGCCCCAGGGCTTCACCCTTGGCCCTCTTCATTTTCTTATGTATGTGCAGTTCTAGCCAGGCTCCACTGGCTCCTCATCACCGAAAGGATCGCCTTTGAGATCCTCACACCCATGGTCAAATCTATTCCCTTCTTGGCATTACCTTCTTCCTCACTCAACAATCCACCACCCGGTGCCCCCGATCGACTGGCACCAGACTCCTGCTCGTGGCTCGCATCCTCCGCCCCACCATTGGAGATCGCGCTTACAGCCACCACGCCCCAAAACTCTGGAACACTCTCCCTCAATCCCTCTGCCTTGCCAGCTCACGAGGAGGAGGTGGCTTATGGCCACCTCCACCCCCCCCCCCCACACTGCGCCTGGCTCGGAGTCAGGCTCCGCCACTGTTAAGCGCTCTGAGACACTACCCTGTGCTTTATAAATGCAAGTAGATGCTGTTGTTGTTATGTGATTCCAATCCTGACTTGGGAGCTTGAATTGACAATCTTCTGACTCAAAAGGCAAGAGTGCAACCAACTGAGCCATTCAGGTTGACACATCCTCCATAAGTGTGGAAATCCTGAGTTGCATCAAACATTGTGAGAAATACCGAATGAATTTGGCACAATAGCATCTGTAGCTTTAAGCACTGCCATTTGTCATTCGCGAGAGCAGCGTTCCAGGGACATGTTTTGCAGTATACAAGCCCGTATTCCAGGAACGAAACTCTGGATAGCCTGTATTCCCACCCACAAAACCGTCAACAATCACAGACCGAGATTCCTATCTTTCTAATGACTGGCTGATATTTAGCTGGAGCTGTTTAGACAGGTTGCGATTTCCCACCCATGGCCAGCAATTGGGACTCGAAGGATTACAGGGCAGAAGGTTCTGGGTGTAGATGTACCAGAGTCTCCCAGCTGTGCCCAAACACTGGGAGCTGAAAGCGAAACTGCATCAGTTAACAGCTACTGAGATTTAAATTACACAGAGCTCAGGAAACAGCTCGTTCGATTGCTACTGTTTAACAATTCTAGCACACAAGCACACATAGACACACACACACTCACAGGCACACGCATGCAGACAGACACACGTCCACAAACGCAGGCAGACAGGCACGCAGACGGACATGCACGAACACAGACAGACACACAGACAGACATTACAGACATGCACGCAAGCAGACCGGCAGGCACAGAGAGAGACAGACAAGACAGGCACAGAGACAGATAGACATTAGACACATGAGCACACACACGTCCCCTCAGCGTGTCCTCACTCACACTCAACCCCTGTCCTCACTGACGCGCTGATATTTTCACTTGTGTCAGTTAGACAGCGAGTTGGACTCCCCAGGAACATGGCTTGTTCTGTTGTTTTCCCCTCATTTGAAGGCATTCTGTGGAAGCACGGCCCCATGGGCGTCACTCCTGTCTCTCACCCTAGCGACCATTTTCACAAGGGCTTGCTGGGAAGCTACAAACTACAAGTCTCGCCACCACCAAGTTCATTTGATTTTCCCACATCCCTCCTCTGATTCCCTGTGTTACCCTAGGATCACAGCGCAGGAGCTGTGTAGCACTGAATGATCCGTGTCTTTCAACAGAGTTACAGGGTTACTGCGCTCACACAGCCTGGCACACCCAAACCTCGTGCGTATTGTGTGTATTTGTGTGCACAAATAATAATAACCTTTGCATTTGATATATCGCGCTTTTCACAAATATTGTGGAGGCAGATTTAGGGGGATACAGATATGCGGGGGAGGGGTTCCAGCTGTTGAAAGCTAGCTGACAGGGACACGAGCAAACCAGCACCGAGACATAACAGCACAGCCTGGGGCTCAGAACTTCCCATTGATTACCCACGTCAAGCCCCCAACTCACTCACATGCCCATCCTGCCTACATCTCCACCCCAAGACAAACCAGGAATTCACCCACCAGAGCAGGGAATGTTCGCCACCAGACGTGGGATCGAGGAATGGAAAATCCCAGGCTGGAGACAGGAAATGAAGGAGACTGAGTGAGCGAGCGATCCAGGCATCTGTGAGGAACGAGTGCAGAGAGAGAGAGAGAGAAAGAGAGCCAGCAAGCGAGGGTGAAGAGGGTTAAATTAGGAAATTAATTAGAGCTAATCTCACATTGGGCATTCAGACTGCAGAAATGCCAGCACTGACAGCCATTAGCACTGTGGTGTCTGTGCTGGGTAGCTTCCCCACTGGAGACTCCCTACTCTAATCCCCTAGTTTCTCCTTGTTCCTCCCATTAACTCTTCATATCTTCATTCTCTGAATGTCTCTCTTTTTTTGTTGATCAGTATGCGTGCCATCACCATGCTTAAGAGTATACAAACCAAACTGAGCATCAAACTGTAGGTGACACATGGAAATTTCAAAGATATTTATTGGAATGGAAATGAGCACTTTCGCTACGGGGGACGAATTCTGCTTACTTAATTCCGGAAAGCATTAGGTGCAGATTGGCAAGGAACCGAGGCTTGGGGACCACAGCATAGCTTTAATGTCTGTTTAAATAATTAATTTGAAATTTAATTTCCTATAAAATGATGTAACATACACTTTGTGGTATACTGTCCACATCCTGATAACATTCTTCTAAATATTTCTCAATATGCACAATGTCTCCTACGCACCTCTGTGGTCTCTGTGGTCCCCAAGCCTTGACTCTTGCCAACCTGAGCCTAATACTCTCCGGAATTAGGTAAGCAGGATGCATCCCTCCAGGGAGAGAGTGCGCATTCCACTCCAACAATTTATCTCTGGGATTTCCATGTGTAGGTGGGCTGCGTGGAACTGTCAGTTTGGTTTGAATACTCTTAAGCACAGTGATGGATTTCCACATGTGTCAGACACCCGACTGACCAAAACCAAATGCCTCCAGTAATATTGCTGAGTTTCTATCTCCTGGTTCCTGATTAATCAGCCAATAATCAGTCACTATTCACCCTCTCAAACCCCGAGATTGGAGATTCCCATGTACATGGTTCTTTGAGATTATTTTGACTACAATATCTAGTGAGGAGAGGAGAGGCAGTTTCTACTTACACAGCCATTCAGCATCAGCACACAAAATATACAGTCAGTTCACTTTATAATGTACTCCATGAAGCACTTTGAGATGTCTCAATGACGTCATAAGGTGCTATATCAAATGCAAGGATTATTATTATATCTGCGAACTATTAACACCACACCAGCTTGTCCATTCCCTCTGCTCGGCGGGAACTAACTTGCTCTGTGCCCCCACCCTGCCCGCTTCACCTCCCGATGTGAAAGATGCCATATAAATGTAAATTGTTGTTTTTTCATCCTTCACACCACACGCAGTGCTCCTCCATAAAAAGACCGCAGCCAGTCTCTGATCTTGCTTAGGATTCAGTCAGACACACGTGAAAGTTCGTTAAAATGAAGATGCCATTCGTTCAATCCCACCAGATACTGATCAGTAAATTGCAGACCAGTAAATCAGTCACCTCATAGCTGTTTGCGGGACCTTGCTGTCTGCTGCATTTGCCGACAAACATTCAGACAATTGATGTAAAACGATTCAGGACATGTCAAAATGATATCACCGTACAACTATGAGAACTTCTTGGCTCCTTCTTCCTGACACAGACCACGTAAAACCCAGCCTACCTCCTGGGAGAAGCTACGCCCTCAAACAACACCGAATGTTTATCTAGCGCTCTTCACGCGGGACTGAAGCTCAGAGCGTTTAACAATTGCTGGAGTTCGATGCCATCCTCAAAGCAGAACAATCCTCATCTAATATCGCCCACAAAATATACAATCAATTCACTTTACAGTATATTCTGTGATGCACTTTGAGATGTCTCAAGGAT